TGGAGGAAGACCGAAAGTCAACGCATAAACTTATTACTCACTTGAAATTAATAGTGAAAGACCATAAAAATTTAAAGACCCGACCGGTCATTTTGAGTATTTGCATTTTGTTCAGCTATTTGAAGTCTTGAGTAGTTTCGTATGATGTATTATGTGGTATTTCAAGAAATTTTGAATTCGTAAATGGCCAAGATTTGATATTAGCATCGGATGGTGCCGGGACTCACAGTATTTCTGTATCACTATGGATTCTACATTTCAGTATTAGAAAGGTAAAAGGAACAACTTTAAAAATACAGAAGGTCTCTTCAGAGTGGGTGTCTCGGTTGTAATACTTTTGGGGTGCTTAAGAGGGAATACAACGGCTTATAGGCCTTAGGGCGGTGTGGTTTTATGTTAGGATCTTTTATGGTGAGCTTTGGGTAAGGATCGTGGTGTTCTGGCAAGGAGAAGTGTCAACTTGAGGGTAATTCGGAAGGAACTCAGACAAATAGGATAGTTTGCTAGTAGGTTGGTTCAACATGGTAATAGATATGATCGGTTCTTTGGGTACTTATTATGTGGTAAGTCTCTACAAGTATTTTGTGGCAATACTCTTGGGATTGGCGACCTGTGTGGCCTAGTTGAGTTAGTGGGATTCAATTCTAATGGCTTGGTTATGTGAAAATGGGTTTAGAAGTGTTCTCGACAATTTCTGCCATAACTTGAGATGGAATTATCTACAGGTATGAGGGGTATGTGGCATGTTATTATTTTCTCCTGGATGGGACCAAGTAGAAGGTTTTGAGTATGTAATCTGCTTGTGACCCAGGGTCGATAATGTGGTTCTCGTGTTTTCATATGATGGCATGATAGATGCGGTGTGTCATGTGGGATTGAGATTTGCATGCGCCGGGTCATGATTTAGTTTTAAAGGGAAGGTCTTGATTTCTTAGACAACATGGACGGTTTTAGATGACTTTCTGAATGCTATTACTACTTGGTATTGCCTGAGAAGTGTGCGCATTTCAGAAGGTTCATTATGTTTTGACTTACGAATGCTTCACTTATATTGCGGTACTCACCTGGTTGATCGATTGCTGATGTTATGATTTTGCTAGGTGTCATGGAAGAATTATAGAAATATTTCTGGGGATGATTATGTATGAGAGATGTGTTAGTCATTCGAGTGGTTGAGTTGGGATCGCCTATGGTGATTCATGTGTTCTATGGATTTGGAAACTGGGAGTTCTCATAAGCAAATTATTTCGGGGTTGTAGACTGTGAAGATGTGGCCAAAGATATCTAGATGGTAGTACATGTTATGATTAGGTCATTGTGAACTTTTGGAGGGCCATTTATCCATTTGGGGATGACCGAAGTTGATTTGGGGGCCCATTGGTAAGCCCAATGAGGATGTGTATTCTACACCGGGTCGGATTCGTTGACTCATGACCGTTATTGCTAAAAGGTGTGTCAATCAGTTAGAATTGAGCTTGTTCCTGTTCTAATATGTTCTATGTGTTACTCTTTTATGCTACGAGGGGTTGTGATTTGTTGGTTATATGCACACCAGATGCGGTTCTGTTTGGGCCTTGTAACGGGATTCGAGCGATTTGGTTATTACGGTGTTGAATGGTTGATTGCGCCTTGGCTATGGTCTTTTCGGGATGTGGTTATGGTCATTCACTTGGCTATGGTCTTTTCGAGCGATTTGGTTATTATGTGGTATATTGTGTTATTCGCTTCTCCATTGTTATGGTCATTCACTTTGTGTACTTGATGTCGAATTGCGTGCGGTTGTTTATTTTGAGCATTGTGGCTTGAGGTATTTCATAGGACCAGTGTTTGGATGGGGTCACGCATTGCAACAGAGTTATGTTAAGATATGATCTTTTGAGTTAGACTCGTGTGTTTCGGTTCTACTATGTGTGATGGTTTCATAGCATTGCATTTGTGTTGGCACTTGTTGAGCTTGCAGGACGGTTCTCTCATTTGAGTTATTTCCCATGTTTGAGTACATTTGAATTGTTCCTTATTGGTGCACAAATTGCACGGTTGTGGCTTTAGGTTGTATTGGTGTGGCTTGTTAATAGAATAGTTGTGTTTGATGAGATAAGGTCATTGGACCTAGAATGGATACTATCGGATTTGATTACGGTATGTTTGGAAGAATAATATCTGAAGTCAGCTTAGGATTTGGCTTTGGTTCTTATCATACGAGAGAGAGAGAGAGAGAGAGAGAGAGAGAGAGAGAGAGAGAGAGAGAGAGCTCCATGACTTGTTGATCCGATGAGTGGTTATGAGTTTCTACATGTTTCTTTCATCATCGGCAGTATACAAAAGTTTTGAGCGAGGTTTTATTTGGTATGAGGTTTACTACCAGTATCGGGTTTGTATTGAGCAGTTGTTGTGAGCGGGATTTATTGCTACGAGTATGTGAGTTGTGTGGTATATCATGTGATTATATCTTGGGTCATGGTTATGGCTTGATACAACTTGTTCAGACTTATACAATGTGTAGATGCGAGATTCGGGTCTTGTAAGGAATTTCGGATGTTGGAAATTGGATTCTAAGGCTTACAGACTAAGGTTAAAGTAATGCTCTTCAGTTATGTTGTGTTGTCAGGCTTACATAGATTGGAATGACCTGGGATCACCCCCGAGTATGTGCATGATAAGGTTACACAGCGATTTGATGGCTTTGGAATGACTCTGGGCACGTTCGAGGATGAACGTATGTTTAAGTGGGAGAGAATGTAACAACCCGACCGGTCGTTTTAAGTATTTGCATTCCGTTCACATATTTGAAGTCTTGAGTATCTTCGTATGATGTATTATGACTTGTGTGAATCATCAGTTTTGGTTTTCAGGTGATTCGAAATTGATTTGGAAGAATGATTCTCAACTAGAAAGCTTTAAGTTGGAAGAGTTGATCAAGTTTGACTTTTTAGTATTTGACCTCGAATCGGAGTTTCGATGGTTCCGTTAGGTACGGACGGTGATTTTAGACTTGGGCGTATTCCCGGATTTGCATTTGAATATTTCTAGAAGGTTTCGGCACTAATTGGCAAAAGTTAAAAATTTTAAGGTTTGGAATGTTCATAAGTTTGACCGAGAGTTGACTTTGATGATATCGGGTTTGAATTGTTGTTCCGGGAGTTGGAATAGATTCGTTATGTTATTTGGAGCTTGTATGCAAAATTTGGGTTTATTCCAGATTGGTTAGGCTTGAATCGGACGCTTGGTTCGAAGTTTGAAGTTTAAGAACTTAAGAGATTGATCTTGATCGACGATTCATAGTTTTGATGTTGTTATGTGTGATTTGAGGCCTCAAATAGGTCTGTGTTATATTTTGGGACTTGTTGGTATGTTCGGACGGGGTCCCGAGGGGCTCGGGTGAGTTTCGGGGTGGTTTCGGACTATTTCTTGGCCATTTTAAGTTGCTGGTTTTTGGCCACGGAGGTGTGCACAGCGATCGCGGACTTAGGATCGCGTTCGTGAAGAGAAAATTTGTTGTTTGGGCACTGTGAATCGCGATGGCGGAAGCCTTTTGGCGATCGCGTAGAGGAAAATTCTGTTGTCACTGACCCATGTTTGGAAGCTTAATCTTGCAATCTAAAAGGAATTTGGAGATGATCCAAAAATGAAAGTTGTATCCCATTATGTATAGTTTTTACAACGTCAAATTATTTGTCATTTGGAGTTATGTACATAATGTTATGGTTGATACACTACAGGCTATTTGAGAAGAGTTGGGAAGGGTTAATGGAAACGTTCATCGTGATCGCGGGGAAATGGCCGCGATTGCATAGGGTAAAAAATTGTCCTGGAAAATTTTGTAATCGCGATCGCGAGGTTTGTGACCGCAATCATGAAGGATACCTTTGGAACAATGTATAAAGTACTCTATTTCGAAGGTTTCATATATTGTAGCATATTTTGGGCTATGGAGCTCATATTGAGGCGATTATTTAGGCGATTTTTACCACATGGATTGGAGTAAGTCTTTTCTACTCGGTTTTGATTATCTTTCATGAATCCATCTTCGATTTTGGCATTTTATTGATGATTTTGAAAGAGAAATTGAGGGGTTTTGTCTAAACTTTCATAAAGTAAATTTTTGACTTTTGAACATTGATTCGGAGTCGGATTTGAATGAAACTAGTATGGTTAGACTCTAATTGAATGAGTTGTCGGATTTTGTATGATTTTGTCGGTTTCGAGGTGCGGGACCGAGTTTGACTTTTTAGTTGACGTTGGGCTTTTGATTAAAGATTTCACCTTTATAGATTGGGTTTGTTTCCTTTGGCATTATATGTTCTTGAGTTGCTTTTGGCTAGTTTTGAGTCGTTCAGAGGTAGGTATGCGTCAGATGGCATTCCTAGAGTATGGGTTGGCTTGGTCAATATTGGATTTGGCTTGTCGAGGTAAGTAACATATCTTAACTTAGATTTGAGGGTATTTAACCCTGGGAACTGTGTAATAAAAGATGTATTGAGGTGACGTACATGCTAGGTGACGAGAGTGTGTGCGTATACCGAGGAAATCATGATTTTAGTCAACTATTAGACTATGACCGGACTTGTTTTGCTGTTGTATCTTGTTACATCCTTGTTCTCCGTACTTGTTTGATTGTATGAGCTGTGAATCATGTTAGAGATCATGGTTTAGGCTATATGCTTATTCTGTTTGGACCCACTAAGGTCATATATTTGTGGTTAAGTTATTTGCTTAAATAACAATTATATACTCAGTCATATTCATTCATTTACATATCATATCGTAGTCTCTGTTATCATTTGTTGTCACATCATGTTATCATTGTTTGAGTTCTGATACCAAATTTGTCACAACCCAACCTCGGGGAGCGCGACCGGCGCTCAACATAGTTACCCCGGTCAAGCAAGCCTTCACAATACCTTCTACCCAACTCACCCATGAATAAAGAGAAAAATACATTTTAATAATTTGACAGTAAGAGGTCATGTGAATAACACCAGTCCATTTCAATTATTTACGTCATTAACAAGTCTCCAAACTAGTACATTGTACAATCATAGTTAAAGTGAAACAGATAATACGATTACAACATTTTTAGTTTAACCTTCCCAAAAACAGATGCAACCCACACTATGTCTATGGAGCCTCTAACAGGAACAAAAGAGTGCTATGAAAGTGTCGACAACAAGGCCCCGGCTATACCTCAAAACGCTATTTACAAATGGTAAGAGATACAGGACCCCGAAATGAAGTGGGGCTCACCAAGTCAGCTGAGGAGAGGGTGTGCTGCTATCACAGATCAATACCACCTGCTATGGAACCACCTACGTCCATTAAAGATGCAGCGTCCCCGGTAAAAGAGACGTTAGTACATATGAAATAGTACTAGTATGTAAAACTAAACACCCTCTCAATAGAATGAGTAATAGTAAACGGAGAATCAAACATGAAATCAATAAGAGACTCAAACAGCACCAAGGTGTCAAGTTAGGAGAAAGGTAAATTTCAATTAAGTATCAGTAATTTAAGTTTGGAGATCTTTAGCATCGATACACCACCTTGTTTTAGCATGGAGTGTGATCTCAGCCCGATCGACTAAGCTGTCTCACCCCGAGACGTACACTCACAATACCACCATGTGTGCGGCATGGCGTCCGATCTCAGCCCGATCAGCTAAGCCGTCTCACTACAATGTCATGTGGGTCGACATCACATCACATCGCGCTAGCAATAATCTCATCCCATTTGAGGGGAAACATCTCAACACACCAATATCATCCCATATAAGGGGAAACAATCTCATCACATTAACACGGGGATTTACCCCTCAATCACTCCTCCAACGGCACGTGTAGTTTCGGGTTTAGGTTGTTCCGACCAACCCTTCCTCGGTGGCTAAACGATACTCCCAAGGCATTTGTTATAAAAAGAATTTACCACTCAATTCATATTCTTTTACATGTAATTCATTTTATTGGCACCATTACTCATAACGCAATATCATTCTTGGTACGTTGGCCGTACTTCATAATTCATGCTCACTATTTCACTTTCAAATATCATCATGGATATTCAACAACAAGGCCTTTCTAATTAAGACTTTAAATACGTATTTGAGCAATTTAGGGTCTTAGGCACATGTGATTTCTTACACAATTGACATGATAGATTTCATTAGAATCACGCTTTAAATCATAACGTAATAACACATAGCCCACGCTTAAACCATATTCCCAGACATTAACTCAACATAACAAGAATATTTGGAATACATATTGAACGCATAATTATTTTGACGCAAGGCTTATTTGGAAAAAATTCAATTTATAATGAGTATCATGGGACTTACAAGGACATTGTTTAGTTCAATTCTAAGAGAAGAATTTAGCCAACATACCTATGAGGGCCACGACCACCTGAAGCACCGTGGGATGCCTAGAGTGCTGAATGAAAAGGCCTGGGAGGATGGCCTCTACCAAAAGTACCCCTTCCTCTAGACGAAGCACCTCTGAACCCACCGGAATGGCGAGGTCTCTTGTCAGACCCCTGACCTCCCTGAGCAAGAACCATCTCTACTCGCCTGGTGACATTGGCAGCCGCATGAAAAGAAATCTCACTCCCAGTCTCCTTAGCCATCTGTAATCTGATAGGCTGAGCAAGTCCCTCAATAAACCTCCTCATCCTCTCTCTCTCTCTCTCTCTCTCTCTCTTGGTAGGAAGCAGAAGAATAGCATGACGGACCAGATCTACAAAACGGGTCTCAACTGAGTGACAGACATACTGCCCTGCTGGAGACGGTCGAACTTCCTGCAAAAATCCTTTTCTCTGTGTGACAGGAAGGAACTTCTCAAGAAATATCTGAGAGAACTGGTCCCAAGTAAGAGCAGGCGACCCCGCTGGTCTGGTCAATACAAAATCCTTCACCATCTCTTGGCGGAACCCGTCATCTGAAATACAGTAAAATCGATCCGATTGGTCTCAACTATCCCTATGTTTCGCAGAACCTCATGGCAGCGGTTAAGATAATCATGTGGGTCCTCAGAAAGTGCATCACTGAAGTGAACTGGGAAGATCTTGGTGAACTTATCCAATCTCAATAAGCACTTAGAAGACATAGATGGCCCATTACCGGCCTGTGCCGCAACAACACTCTGACTGGCTGAGCTGCCGGAGTCTGATACTGGGGAGCCATCTGCTCCGGAGTGTGAGTAACAAGAGTCTGTGCTCCTCCTCCAGCCTGAGAGATGGCTGGTGCCATGGGAAACGTACTAGTCTGGGCCAAACTCTTCATAAGCCCTACCAAACGAACCAAAACGCCCTGAAGCACTGGGGTGGCGATGAACCCCTCCGGGACTTGAGCTGGTCCGACAGGAATAGTCTGGGCTGGAACCTCCTCATCAAACTCTACCTAAGGCTCCACTGTTGGTGCTGCTGCTCGAACTCTGGGCTGGGCTCTTCCCCTGCCTCGGCCTCTGGCACGACCTCGGCCTCGACCTCTAGCATGGCCTCGACCTCGACCTCTTCCCCTCGTAGGAACTGCTACTGGGGGCTCTGGCTGCTGCTCAGCTGAAGATGCAGTACGTGTTCTCGCCATCAGCGAGAGAACAAGAGTAGAAGAGTTCAATTAGCAATGAGAGAACAAAATCGCACGACAGAGAAGAATGGAAGTAAAATTTGTTCCTAAACTTCATAGTCTCTGGAAGATAAGTACAGACGTCTCCGTACCGATCCTCCAGAATCTACTAAGATTGCTTGTGAATTGTGAGACCTAGGAAACCTAGAGCTCTGATACCGACTGTTACGACCCGGTATTCCCACCGTCGAGACCGTGATGGCGCCTAACATTCCACTTGCTAGGGAAGCCGACATTAGAGAATTATTAAGCCAATCCTTATTCAATTCAGTAAATAACAGCAAATAAGCTAAAACAATATAACGAGTGCAGAATGATATAAAAACTTCATTAATTACTACCACCCGGATCTAAAGTCACAACTCACGAGATACTATGATTTACTACAAACATAGCCTGAAAAGGAAAAATACACTGTTTTGAAGTAAGGAAATAGTAAATGATAAAACTAGGAAGAGACTCCAGGGTCTGCGGACGCCAGCAAATCTACCTTGGATCTCCTGACAGCAAATCTAAGCTGCTAAGTCTCACGATCAGCGGTACCAAAATCTTTACAAGAAGTGCAGTATCAGTACAATCGACCCCATGTACTGGTAAGTGTCGAGCCTACCTCGACGAAGTAGTGACGAGGCTATGACAAGACACTCACATAATAAACCTGTTATATGTACAAGAAAACAACAATAACAGCTAAACATGTACTATTGGGAGGAGGATATGCTAAAGGGGCACAGGATATAGGAGATACATCGAAAATGATAACCAGAACAGTCAACATGATTTGAACCAGTGAAAACAACTAAACACAATGAAGAAAATTGCACGGCATCACCCTTCGTGCTTTTACTCTCAGCCTTACAATATAAATCAATAGATACAGCACGACATCACCCTTNCTCAGCCTTACAATATAAATCAATAGATACGGCATGACATCACCCTTTGTGCATTAACTCTGACAACGTGGCATGACATCACCCTTCGTGCATTAACACTCACAATATGGCACGGTATCACCCTTCGTGTATTAACACTCACAATATGGCATGACATCACCCTTCGTGCATTAACACTCACAATATGGCACGACATCACCCTTCGTGCATTAACACTCTCCCTTACCACATATTAATGAACAAGTAATAGCAGGGAGATAGAATCAACAAGAACAAGCCTTACTTCAACAATGGTTCCACAATACAAATCTCAACTTTGGAATCAATACTCAATTATCACAAAACCCGTAAACACGATAAGTACGATCAATTTAGTAACTAACTAGTCTAAGCATGGATAACAAGATTAAGTAAGCAATAAACTACAAGGAACATGTTCCACCCGCATGCTTTAACCCGACAACAACGCATTAGTACTCGTCACCTGAGATGATACTCATGCTCCTCTCGACTGCGGGAGTAGATCAAGATATCATCAATAAACATGATCACAAAGGATTCTAAATAAGGCTTCAACAATCGGTTCATCAAATCCATGAATGCTGCTGGGGCATTTGTCAACCCAAAGGACATCACCAGAAACTCATAATGCCCGTACCGAGTCTGAAAAGCTGTCTTAGGGACATCAAATGCCCTAATCCTCAACTGATGGTAGCCATATCTCAAATCAATCTTCGAAAACACCTTGGCACCCTGAAGCTGATCAAATAAATCATCAATCCTCAGCAATGGATACTTGTTCTTGATGGTGACTTTTTTCGACTGCCGATAATCTATACACATCCTCATCGATCCATCTTTCTTCTTCACGAATAACACGGGTGCACCCCAGGGTGAGACACTAGGTCTAATGAAGCCCTTATCAAGCAAATCTTGCAATTGGTCCTTCAATTCTTTCAACTCTAGCGGGGCCATACGGTGTGGCGGAATGGAAATGGGCTGAGTGCCCGGAGCCAAATCAATACAGAAATCAATATCCCTATCGGGTGGCATCCCCGGCAGGTCTGCAAGAAACCCCTCTGGAAACTCACAAACAACTGGTATTGAATCCATGGAAGGAACCTCTGCACTAGAATCTCGAACGTAAGCCAAATAAGCTAGACACCCCTTCTTGACCATATGCCGAGCCTTCATGTAAGAGATAATCCTACTGGTAGAATGGCCAGGAGTCCCTCTCCACTCTAATCAAGGCAACCCCGGAAAGTCTAAGGTCACCGTCTTGGCGTGACAATCCAATATAGCATGATAAGGTGACAGCCAATCCATACCCAAGATAACATCAAAATTTACCATATCGAGAAGTAGAAGATCTACAATAGTCTCAAGACTCCCAATGGTAACCACACACGAGCGATAAACACGATCTACAACAATAACATCTCCCACAGGGTTGGACACATACATTGTAGCGCTCAAAGAATCACGAGGCACAACCAAATATGAAGCAAAATAGGATGACACATAGGAGTAAGTAAAACGCGGATCAAATAGAATTGAATCATCTCTACTGCAAACTGAAACAGTACCTGTGATAACAGCGTCATATGACTTAGCCTTAGGCCTGGCTAGAAAAGTATAGCATCGGGGCTGGGCCCCACCACTGTGAACTACATCTCTAGGACGAGCCCTAGTTGGCTGGCCTCCACCTCTAGCGGCCTAACCTCCACCTCTAATGGCCTGATCACCGCCTTTGGCTGCCTGACCCCTACCTCTAGCTAGCTGAGCGGGCGATGAAGCACCCGGTGCCGGGACCATGGCACGAGAACCCTGATGCTGTGAACTGCTCGATGCATGAGGGCAAAATCTAGCAATGTGCCTCGAATCACCACAAGTATAACAGGCCTCGGCTGCTGTGACTGCTGACCGTGAAACTGACCCTGTCGACCTGAGTAACCACCATGAAAACTTTGGAGCGGAGGTGCACTAATAGGAGCTGGTGGTGCACTGTCGGCTAGCTAGTCAGAATATACTTGGAGCACATTTTCAAATAGAATATAACATAACAAGAACATTGGAACACATATTGAACATATATCTTTCGACACAAGGCTTGTCCAGAATAATCAATTTATGACGAATAACTCGGGACTTACAAGGATATTTTGGGGTTCAATTCTAAGAGAAGAGTTTAGCCAACATACCTCGCCTCGAGCTTTTTAAATTACTACAATGTTCCGAAATTCTTAGCCGCTTCGATCTATTTAGAAGTATAGCAAAATTGAACATAAATTAGGAAAGGGTTTATGGTTCCAGATCATTTGAGCGTTTGATCAAACACTAGGTGGGTATTATTATTTCAAGGTTCTTTAAAAGTGGCCCTTTACTCTAATATATCGAAATAGGGTCGGGTAAAAAATTAGAAAGAAATTAAGCCCCGATGCAGATCTGTGGTCGCATATGCGACCGCATAATGCTTCTGCGGTCCGCAAAATGGTCCTACGGAATTGTGCACTTCTACCTCACTCTGCGACAGGTCTGTGGTCCGCATACCAGTTCTGCGGTCACATAATGCGCCGCAAAACTTCCCTCCAGAAATTTTCATGCTAGATCTACGATGGGTTATGCGACCCACAAAGTGATTATGCGGCCAAAAATTGGCTCCAGTTTCTGCTTTAGTCTGCGTCACATCTGCGGTCCATAGATTTATTTTGCGATCGCAGAAATGCCATGTACTTCCAAAAATAATTCTTTGACTCCCCAATGCACTGCTCAACCTAAAACTGAACCGCGGCGAGCTTACTCGCCGCGAAGAATCTCTACAATCGTCAACACATAAGTCCACTTTGGCAATACAAAACTTTGGGTTTTAGGTAAAAATTTTATGGGGCCGTACACCCCCCCCCCCCCCCCCCCCAATATCATTCATCCTCAAATGAAGGCCAAAATTCGCCATTAGAAACCAATGTGACTCAGCTGCTATAACACACACCTACAGTTCCAAACTTTTGACTAACTCTCCAAATTTCCAAACATTTTGCCAGAGTTTCTCCTGTAACTTGGCCTATCCACCTGTTTGAGAATCCCAGAAACCAACCCTAACAAAAATATCACTTGTCCTTGGTAGCTTTAGATTCGAATTATGTTCATGTACAATCCAAACAAATGTTGTAATTATTTCAGTTCAGTTTTTATTTTATAAATCTAAGTCTTAGTGGCTCATGACTTGTACTACCAGTCCTTGGAGAGATGTATAAAATTTAGTTATTTCATTTTTGACTCTTATCATTATCATTATATTATATTTTATTATTATTTGGCTTATCTAGCGGGTTGGGTTAGGTGGCATCACGACAGACTGGTTTTTGGGTCATGACAAGTTGGTATCAGAGCTCTAGGTTTATAGGTTCTACGAGTCATGAGCAAGTATCCAGTAGAGTCTTGCGAATCGATATGATGACGTCCATACCTATCTTCGAGAGGCTACAGGGCATTTAGGATAAACTTTCCATCTTTCTTTCCTTATCGTGCGGCATTGATTCAGCTTGAAGCGTATCTCTTTGAGTTCCTTTCACTCACTCGTATGCGTATGTGAGCGTTCGGTATTAGCTATGCATCGACGGCTTGCGATCCCATGGATGAGGTGCGAGATGCATTTTCTGAGTTTTGGTGATGGGCCAGTATGGAGGACTTGAGGCCAGGTTTAGACCGAAGTTTGGTTTTGGTGGTTCAGTTTGTGTGAGCATGTGCTTTGGACTTAAATGTCCGGTAGTATCCCTATGAATGGAATTTATGGCTCAGTGAGTGGTTGGATGGCTATATGATGAGTAGGATGTGACTGCCGGATGTATTCAGATGGTTTGAATGTGACGAGAAGAGTTTGCTTGAGATGTGAAAAGGACTGTGGATGTGTCATAGAGTCTTGAGTTATGAAGGTTTTTGAGAGATTCTTTTATGTTATTTCATTTGTGGAATGAAGTAGATTTTCATATCTTGTTGATGAGCCCAGAGTTAGAAAGATTAAGTGATTATGTAGTAGTTGTGGCTGTGAAAGGGTATAGAGAGATGCCAGTTTGAGGCTAAGCATGTGAGTTATCACCTTCGGGGTAATCTATGGATGTGTGATCCTTATGATATTGTGTGGAGGCTTTCTTTTCTACCAGTGGGTATATGTGTTGCGATTCGAGTTTGGATTGGTTGAGAATGTTGACCTGACCATCACGAGGATGAATGCGAGCTTAGCAGATAATTTGAGGTATTATATGATTTGTATTACGTGAGCTTATGAAGGATTTAGTTGAATCTCACTGTGGTATTATGGTAGTAATAGAGTATGGGCATTGTGAATTATTGAGTGTTTTGATCTATGGCTTTGAGCCAAGTGGGGGGACTCTACTATCGACGATTTTATTGCATGGTTACGTGTTGTATTGGTTTCGGTCTAAAAGATACTTGTGGATCGGTTATGACTTGTAGAGATTTGTTTTGAGAATGACTTAAGCAAGAAAATTTCTGGATACTGGTTGTATTACAATTTATGGGTATATGGAGATCATGGAATAATTTGAGTTGTTATTCGTGAAGGATGTAGTGCGCATAGAGTAGGAATTTACTCAGTTGTGTTAAGGCGGGGTTACTTATTTGGGTGTCGTCGTGCTAATGGGGCACATGTCGTTCGGCCCGTTTGGGCGGTGCAATTGAGATTCGAGCAGAGTGGATGACTCTCGAGAAGGTTCTAATAGATTCAAAATTCATATGTGGCAATTGGGAATTTTTCGGATTTGTATATGGCTAGAATCTGAGATTTGCATTGGTTGATGTCGAGACTCGCGATATTTCTATATCATTATGGAATCTACATTTCAGTATCAAGAAGGTAAAGAAAACAGTTTTAGATTCACATAAAGCCTCTTTAGAGTGGGTGTCTCCGTTGTGGTACTTTTGGGGTGCTAAGAGGGAATATATCGGCTTATGGGCCTTAGAGCAGTGTGGTTTTATATTAGGATCTCTTGTGGTGAGCCTTAGGTAAGGATCGTGGTGTTCTGACAAGGAGAAGTGTTAACTTGAAGGCAATTCGGAAGGAGCTCGGAGAAATAGGATAACTTGGTAGTAGGTTGTGTCAGCACAGGAATGGATATGATTGGTTCTTTGGGTACTTATGAGGTGGTGAGCCTCTACAGGTATTTTGTGGTAATACTCTTAGATTTGGCGACCTGCATGACTTGGTTGAGTTAGAGGGATTCAGTTTTGATAGCTTGGTTATGTGCAAATGGGTCTCGTAGAGCTCTCGATAATTTCTACCATGGCTTGGGATGAATATTTTCTATAACATGGGGAGTTTGTTGTGCATTGCGATTTTCTCCTGGATGGGAGCAAGTGGAAGGTTTCTAGCTATTTGGGTATGTATTCTACTTGTGATTCATATTTGGTAATGAGATTCTCGTATTTTCATATGATGGCCTGATAGATGCGGTGCGTCCTGTGGGATTGAGATTTACATGTACAAGGTGGGGGTTCAATTTTGGAGGGAAGGTCAGGAATTTTGGACAGCATGAACGGTTTCAAATGACTAGATGAATGCTATTACTACTTGGTATTGCCTGAGAAGGGTGCGCATTTCAGAAGGGCACTGTATTTTGACTTACAGATGCTTCATTGGTAAAACTGGTTGATCGACTGCTGATATTCAGATTTTGTTATGTGGCATGGAAGAATTATAGAGGTATTTCTCATGGGGATGATTATGTATGAGAGATGTGTTAGTCATTCGAGTGCTAGAGTTGGAATCGACTATGGTGATTCATGTGTTCTATGGATTTGGAGACTAGGAGTTCTCAGAAGCAGAT